AGGCTACACGGGGGACCTTTATCTTTGCGAATGATTGCGTGGGCGTCCCCTAGGTCGACTCAGCCTCAAATGGGCACTTGGTGGCGGTGTGGAGTGAACATCGCCATTAGGGGAGACAAAGGCGGCCGTGTGCCAGTGACGGCCTTCACAGGCGGCACTGCTGCTGCTGCTCGCTGTGACATTCTTCACCCCTGCCGGACGTGTGTGGTTAAAGAGCTTTATAGCTCATCGGATTCCTCCAGTGAAAATAAATATTCTGATTCCGAACATCACTTACCCCTTACAGTCTGCTGTGTAAAGGGGGGGGGGGGCGGATCTTTATTTTTGTAGTTGTTGACGGGTTTGTTGTTGTTGTTGACGGGTTTGTTGTTGGAACGGCGAGGCGAGAGCCTCAGGCCCCGCCGCAGGCTCCGTTGCTACGGCAACGCCGTCCTAGGCCTCAACCGTTTACGTGACGTCACCGATTCCCGTCACACGAAAAAATCGAATTGTCGGCCATATTGGAGCGGGAAGCCCCTCCCCGCACTCGGCCTGTGGCGCCAGCGTGGCGCGGTTTCAATGACGTCAGAAAGGGGCGTGGCGGTGACGTCACGCAAACGGTTGAGGCCTCGGTCGGCGTTGCCGTAGCAACGGAGCCTGCGGCGGGGCCTGAGGCTCTCGCCTCGCCGTTCCAACAACAAACCCGTCAAATTTTGATTTAAAGCTTTCGTGACTGCAGTAATTCATATTCTTAGTTTTTTCGGTAAAGTCACGTTGAAGAGAAACAACAAAATAACAAAATATATATAAAACAATAAAAAATTCTCACGACGTTTCGACCATAACTCAGTCCTGGGCAAACTGCCAATCGCTGCGCGTGACGCCAACGTTTTTATAAATAAATAAATGTGCCGTTTTTTAAAAATAAATTAATGCAAACCGACACACCTGATGATGACCGTTTGAGTTATGGTCGAAACGTCGTGAGAATTTTTTATTGTTTTATATATATTTTGTTATTTTGTTGTTTCTCTTCAACGTGACTTTACCGAAAAAACTAAGAATATGAATAACAAACCCGTCATCAACACCAACAACAAACCCGTCAACAACAACAAACCCGTCAACAACAACAAACCCGTCAACAAACCCGTCAACAACAAACCCGTCAACAACAAACCCGTCAACAACAACAACAACAAACCCGTCAACAACAACAACAAACCCGTCAACAACAACAACAAACCCGTCAACAACAACAAACCCGTCAACAACAACAAACCCGTCAACAACAACAACAAACCCAACAACAACAAACTCAAATTTTTATTTAAAGCTTTCGTGACTGCAGTAATTCATATTCTTAGTTTTTTCGGTAAAGTCACGTTGAAGGGAAACAACAAAATAATAAAATATATATAAAACAATAAAAAATTCTCACAACGTTTCGACCGTTTGAGTTATGGTCGAAACGTGAGAATTTTTTTATTGTTTTATATATATTTTATTATTTTGTTGTTTCCCTTCAACGTGACTTTACCGAAAAAACTAAGAATAACAACAAACTCGTCAACAACAACAAACCCGTCAACAACAACAAACCCATATACTTAGCTCGGTAAAGTCACGTTGAAGGGAAACAATAAAATAATAAAATAGATATAAAACAATAAAAAAAATTCTCACGACGTTGGTCGTCATCAGGTGTGTCGGTTTGCATTAATTTATTTGTTTTTAAACGGTGTATTTATTTATAATAAACGTCAGCGCCACGTGCAGCGATTTGGCAGTTTATTTAGAAGGACGAGTCCATCTATGTTCTGAAAAGAGGAGGGGGGGAGACGAAAAATTAATGTATGCTGTCTGGAAGCCACCGTAAGCGTGAACAATCAATCAAGACCTGAAATGGTTAATCAAATCCTTCCAATGATTGCTAAGCCAGAATCGATCTTCTCGGTTGAAATTGTCTATGTGCTTGTATATGTGGATAGCCTCATGAACGAATCTTTCGTGGTAGGCAGATGGCTTACAGAGAAACCTGCTGCCAGACCACTAAGATTATATGGCCTCCCAAAGATACACAAAGAAGATACACCCCTTCGTCCTATCGTCTCTACTATCAACTCCCCCACCTATAAACTGGCACGTTTTCTTGCTGATATACTGCGAGCTTTCACTGGAAAACCACCTCTGCGGTACTAAATTCTACTCACCTGGTATCGACAATCAAAGGCATTTCCCTATCCCCAGACGACCTGCTTGTCAGTTTTGATGTGGTGTCCTTGTTCATCAAAGTCCCGGTACCTGACACCATCGCTATCATTGAAGACCTGGTTCATCAAGGACTGCACACTGATGTACCCCCCCTGGTGAGACATTGCTTAACCAACACATACTTCACCTGGAATGGAACTTTCTACAAACAAACTGAGGGCACCCCAATGGGCTCCCCCCTATCTCCGGTTGTAGCAAACGTATTCATGAAGAAATTTGAAACTGACGCCATCCAGACTGCCACTCTACGCCCGACCTTATGGAAGAGGTGCGTGGATGACACTTTTGTCATCTGGCCACATGGCCAGCCTGCTCTAGACCAATTCCGCGACCACATCAATTCCATACACCCAGCCATCAGATTTACCATGGAGGTCGAAAAAGATGGCAAACTACCATTTTTGGATGTCTTAATTAAAAGGAGACATGATGGTTCAATGAGCCACTCTGTCTACAGGAAAGCTACCCATACAGATGCTTACTTGAAACCGGATTCCCACCACCATCCATCCCAGAAGAACTCCCTCATCAAGACTCTATACCATAGAGCCCAATGCATTTCCGACCAGGAACACATTACCAGTGAACTCAAGCACGTACACCAGGCTCTCAGGGCTAATGGTTACTCCGACTACACAATCCGCAAAGCCATCACTCCAGTCATGAAGAAGGATCCTCTTGTGGAGCCACTCAAAACCATCACCTTACCCTACATTGCAGGGGTCACTAAAAAGATCTCCAAAATCCTGAATAAACACAAGATCCAGGTCCGATTCAACACAGTACATAAAATCCGTGATCTAGTTCCATCTGTAAAAGATACTGTTCCAGACATACAGTACCCGGGCGTTTACAAACTAAAGTGCCTCTGTAGTAGCAGCTACATTGGAGAAACCAAACGACATATCTCGGACCGCATCCGCGAACATAAAGCAGACTTGAAACACGGTAGAACGAACTCCTCTGCTGTGGCAGATCACTGTTATAATTCAGTGGGCTCACATGACATTGACTTCTCCAAGACGGAGGTTCTTTGCAAACCAACCGGCTACCATGAGAGATTCGTTCATGAGGCCATTCACATATACAAGCACAGAGACAATTTCAACCGAGAAGATGGATTCTGGCTTAGTAACCATTGGAAAGATGTTTTAAACCATTTCCGTTCTTAATTGTATTTTACGATGACCTTCAGACCGCAGCTCTTTCGCCGGCATTGACTCTTAATACCTCTCACACCACGGTTAATGGTATGGTGTACAACATGGAGTATAACAGCGCCTCGCAGCTGTCTCTCTCCCCCTCCTCTGTTCCGACCATGGATGAACTCGTCCGTCTGAACGGGGCTCGTAGCTATCCGTGGTGCTAAAGTTGAGGGTAAGAATCCACCCATATTTTCGCCATATAGCATTGTGATATATAACGACTTATTGTTGGTAGCTTAGCTGATTGGAGAATATATAGAGTTTATTGATAACATTGAGGTAATTTATATTTCAGTTTTTTATTGGTTTACTATATAGTATTCATTATATAGTGTAGTGTATACCCAGTTACTGTTAATAGCTCAGATGTGTAGACTTTGACTTTAACATAGCCATTTCTGTGACCAGTCACAAGCTAATCACTCAGTTATTTCAATGCTAAATTCTCCTGTTTGATTTGCACTAGGTGCCTCTGTAGATGTGTATGCTTTGACTATAACATAGCCATTTCTGTGACCAGTCACAAGCTAATCACTCCAGCTATTTCAATGCTAAATTCTATGCTAATTCCTTTGTGAAGGGGTGCCTCTGTGGATGTGTATGCTTTGACTTTAACATAGCCATTTCTGTGACCAGTCACAAGCTAACCGCTCAGCTATTTCAATGCTAAATTCTATGCTAATTCCTTTGTGAAGGGGTGCCTCTGTGGATGTGTATGCTTTGACTTTAACATAGCTATTTCTGTGACCAGTCACAAGCTAATCACTCAGCTATTTCAATGCTAAATTCTATGCTAATTCCTTTGTCAAGGCGCTTTGTTTCTTCTCACACAGCTTAAAGGTCGTGATCTGAGCGTGGCTTTTTTCACTCCAGCGCTGTCCTCCAGACAGTCTCGTCCCTTCACCTGATGAAGGCCGCTTGTGTTGTGGCCGAAACGTCGTGAGAATATTATTGTGTTATTTTATTTTGTCAATTTATTATTTTATTCTCATTCTACGTGACTTTACCGAAATAACCAAAGAAGATTAATCATTGCAGTCACGAAAGCTTTAAATCGAAAGTTGTTGTTGTTGTTTGACTGGCATCCCACTGGGATTTTTGCACACAGCGTTGGTGTACGGTACGGTGCTATTTCAGGAATATTTTGATGTTTTTTTTTCCTGGATTTTCTGTTTGCACAATCACACAAAGTCACTTTAAGATGAATGGCTCACAGGGCTCTACCAAATACATGTGACTATGAACCCCACGAGGCAATCTCCCCCCACCCCACCCCTTCCCCCCCCACCCCTTCCCCCACCCCTTCCCCCTCACCACCCCACCCCTTCCCTTACCACCCCACCCCTCCCCCCACCCCTCCCCCCACCCCATCCCCCCACCCCTCCCCCCACCCCTTCCCCCACCCTTTCCCCCACCCCTTCCCACCCCTCCCCCCACCCCTTCCCACCCCTCCCCCCACCCCTTCCCTTACCACTCCCCCCACCCCACCCCTTACCCCCACCCCTTCCCCACCCCTTCCCACCCCTCCCCCCACCCCTTCCCTTACCACGCCCCCCACCCCTTCCCCTTACCAAGATGGCGACGCTGGCTCTGCTCGCTCCCTCCCCGCGCGGTTGGTGAGCGGCGCGGAGCGTCGGCGTCGTCCTGGCAACCGGAGCGGAGCGAGCAATGGTGAGGAGGGTGGTGAAGGTGTTGGTGAAGGTGGTGAGGGTGGTGAAGGATGGTGAGGGTGGTGAGGGATGGTGAGGGTGGTGAGGGTGGTGAGGAGGGTGGTGAAGGTGTTGGTGAAGGTGGTGAGGGTGGTGAGGGATGGTGAGGGTGGTGAGGGTGGTGAGGAGGGTGGTGAAGGTGGTGGTGAGGGTGGTGAGGGATGGTGAGGAGGGTGGTGAGGGTGGTGAGGGATGGTGAAGGTGTTGGTGAGGGTGGTGAAGGTGTTGGTGAGGGTGGTGAAGGTGTTGGTGAGGGTGGTGAAGGTGGTGAGGGTGGTGAAGGTGTTGGTGAGGGTGGTGAGGGATGGTGAGGAGGGTGGTGAGGAGGGTGGTGAGGGTGTTGGTGAGGGTGTTGGTGAGGGATGGTGAGGAGGGTGGTGAAGGTGTTGGTGAGGGTGGTGAGGGTGGTGAGGGTGGTGAGGGTGGTGGTGAGGGATGGTGAGGGTGGTGGTGAGGGATGGTGAGGGTGGTGGTGAGGGATGGTGAGGGTGGTGGTGAGGGATGGTGGTGAAGGTGTTGGTGAGGAGGGTGGTGAAGGTGTTGGTGAGGGTGGTGAGGGATGGTGAGGAGGGTGGTGAGGGTGGTGAGGGATGGTGAGGGTGGTGAAGGTGTTGGTGAGGGTGGTGAGGGTGGTGAAGGTGGTGAGGGATGGTGAGGAGGGTGGTGAAGGTGTTGGTGAGGGTGGTGAGGGTGTTGGTGAGGGTGGTGAGGGTGTTGGTGAGGGTGGTGAGGGTGGTGAAGGTGTTGGTGAGGGTGGTGAGGGTGGTGAGGGTGGTGAAGGTGTTGGTGAGGGTGGTGGTGAGGGTGGTGAGGGTGGTGAGGGTGTTGGTGAGGGTGGTGGTGAGGGTGGTGAGGGTGGTGAGGGTGGTGAGGGTGGTGAAGGTGTTGGTGAGGGTGGTGGTGAGGGTGGTGAGGGTGGTGAGGGTGGTGAAGGTGTTGGTGAGGGTGGTGAAGGTGTTGGTGAGGGTGGTGAGGGTGGTGAGGGTGGTGAGGGTGGTGAGGAGGGTGGTGAAGGTGTTGGTGAGGGTGTTGGTGAGGGTGGTGAGGGTGTTGGTGAGGGTGGTGAGGGTGGTGAGGAGGGTGGTGAGGGATGGTGAGGGTGGTGGTGAGGGATGGTGAGGGTGGTGGTGAGGGATGGTGGTGAAGGTGTTGGTGAGGGTGGTGAGGGATGGTGAGGAGGGTGGTGAGGGTGGTGAGGGATGGTGAGGGTGGTGAAGGTGTTGGTGAGGGTGGTGAGGGTGGTGAAGGTGGTGAGGGATGGTGAGGAGGGTGGTGAAGGTGTTGGTGAGGGTGGTGAGGGTGGTGAAGGTGTTGGTGAGGGTGGTGAGGGTGGTGAAGGTGGTGAGGGATGGTGAGGAGGGTGGTGAAGGTGTTGGTGAGGGTGGTGAGGGTGGTGAGGGTGTTGGTGAGGGTGGTGAGGGTGGTGAGGAGGGTGGTGAGGGATGGTGAGGGTGGTGGTGAGGGATGGTGAGGGTGGTGGTGAGGGATGGTGGTGAAGGTGTTGGTGAGGGTGGTGAGGGATGGTGAGGAGGGTGGTGAGGGTGGTGAGGGATGGTGAGGGTGGTGAAGGTGTTGGTGAGGGTGGTGAGGGTGGTGAAGGTGGTGAGGGATGGTGAGGAGGGTGGTGATGGTGTTGGTGAGGGTGGTGAGGGTGTTGGTGAGGGTGGTGAGGGTGTTGGTGAGGGTGGTGGTGAGGGTGGTGAGGAGGGTGGTGAAGGTGGTGGTGAGGGTGTTGGTGGTGAGGGATGGTGAGGAGGGTGGTGAGGGTGGTGAGGGTGGTGAAGGTGGTGAGGGGGGGGAAGGTGTTGGTGAGGGTGGTGAGGGTGGTGAGGGATGGTGAGGGTGTTGGTGAGGGTGGTGAGGGTGTTGGTGAGGGTGGTGAAGGTGGTTAAGGTGTTGGTGAGGGTGGTGAGGAGGGTGGTGAAGGTGTTGGTGAGGGTGGTGAGGGTGGTGAGGGTGTTGGTGAGGGTGGTGAGGGTGGTGAGGGTGTTGGTGAGGGTGGTGAGGGTGGTGAGGAGGGTGGTGAAGGTGTTGGTGAGGGTGGTGAAGGTGTTGGTGAGGGTGGTGAGGAGGGTGGTGAGGGTGGTGAGGAGGGTGGTGAAGGTGTTGGTGAGGGTGGTGAGGAGGGTGGTGAGGAGGGTGGTGAGGAGGGTGGTGAGGGATGGTGAAGGTGTTGGTGAGGGTGGTGGTGAGGGTGGTGAAGGTGTTGGTGAGGGTGGTGAGGATGGTGAAGGTGTTGGTGAAAGTGTTGGTGAGGGTGGTGAGGGTGTTGGTGAGGGTGGTGAGGGTGTTGGTGAGGGTGGTGAGGGTGGTGAGGGTGGTGAAGGTGGTGAGGGATGGTGAGGAGGGTGGTGAAGGTGTTGGTGAGGGTGGTGAGGAGGGTGGTGAGGAGGGTGGTGAGGAGGGTGGTGAGGGTGTTGGTGAGGGTGGTGAGGGATGGTGAGGAGGGTGGTGAAGGTGTTGGTGAGGGTGGTGAGGGTGGTGAGGGTGGTGAAGGTGTTGGTGAGGGTGGTGAGGGATGGTGAGGAGGGTGGTGAAGGTGTTGGTGAGGGCGGTGAGGGATGGTGAGGGTGGTGAAGGTGTTGGTGAGGGTGGTGAGGGATGGTGAGGAGGGTGGTGAAGGTGTTGGTGAGGGCGGTGAGGGTGGTGAGGGTGGTGAAGGTGTTGGTGAGGGTGGTGAGGAGGGTGGTGAGGAGGGTGGTGAGGAGGGTGGTGAGGGTGGTGAGGGTGTTGGTGAGGGTGGTGAGGGATGGTGAGGAGGGTGGTGAAGGTGTTGGTGAGGGTGGTGAGGGATGGTGAGGGTGGTGAAGGTGTTGGTGAGGGTGGTGAGGGTGGTGAGGAATGGTGAGGCTTTTGAGAGTGGTGAGGAATGGTGAGGGTCCCCCTCCCCCCACGAGCCTCCCTGTCTAGAAAGACAAAGGCGGCCGTGCGCAAGTGGCTTAATCCGTGTGCTGTGTGTGCTGTGTCTGGTGTTTGTGCTGTGTGTGTGCTGTGTCTGTTGTGTGTGCTGTGTGTGTGTTGTGTGTGTGCTGTGTCTGTTGTGTGTGTGTTGTGTGTGTGTTGTGTGTGTGCTGTGTCTGTTGTGTGTGTGCTGTGTCTGTTGTGTGTGTTGTGTGTGCTGTGTCCGGTGTTTGTGTGTTGTGTGTGCTGTGTGTGCTGTGTCTGTTGTGTGTGTGTTGTGTGTGCTGTGTCTGTTGTGTGTGTGCTGTGTCTGTTGTGTGTGTTGTGTGTGCTGTGTGTGTGTTGTTTGTGTTGTGTGTGCTGTGTCTGGTGTTTGTGCTGTGTGTGTGTGCTGTGTCTGTTGTGTGTGTGTTGTGTGTGTGCTGTGTGTGTGCTGTGTCTGTTGTGGGTGTTGTGTGTGCTGTGTCTGTTGTGTGTGTTGTGTGTGTGTTGTGTGTGCTGTGTCTGTTGTGTGTGCTGTGTGTGCTGTGTCTGTTGTGTGTGCTGTGTGTGTGTTGTGTGTGCTGTGTCTGGTGTTTGTGCTGTGTGTGTGCTGTGTCTGTTGTGTGTGCTGTGTCTGTTGTGTGTGCTGTGTGTGTGTTGTGTGTGCTGTGTGTGTGTTGTGTGTGCTGTGTGCTGTGTGTGTGTTGTGTGTGCTGTGTGTGTGTTGTGTGTGCTGTGTCTGTTGTGTGTGTGTGCTGTGTGTGCTGTGTCTGTTGTGTGTGTGCTTTGTCTGGTGTTTGTGCTGTGTGTGTGCTGTGTTTGTTGTGTGTGCTGTGTGTGTGTGCTGTGTGTGTGTTGTGTGTGCTGTGTCTGTTGTGTGTGCTGTGTGTGTTGTGTGTGCTGTGTGTGTTGTGTGTGCGTGCTGTGTGTGCTGTGTCTGTTGTGTGTGTGCTGTGTCTGGTGTTTGTGCTGTGTGTGTGCTGTGTCTGTTGTGTGTGCTGTGTGTGTGTGTTGTGTGTGCTGTGTCTGTTGTGTGTGTTGTGTGTGCTGTGTCTGTTGTGTGTGTTGTGTGTGTGCTGTGTCTGTTGTGTGTGTTGTGTGTGCTGTGTATGTGTTGTGTGTGCTGTGTGTGTTGTGTGTGCTGTGTCTGTTGTGTGTGTTGTGTGTGCTGTGTCTGGTGTTTGTGTGTTGTGTGTGCTGTGTGTGCTGTGTCTGGTGTTTGTGTGTTGTGTGTGCTGTGTGTGCTGTGTCTGTTGTGTGTGTTGTGTGTGCTGTGTCTGTTGTGTGTGTTGTGTGTGTGCTGTGTCTGGTGTTTGTGCTGTGTGTGTGCTGTGTCTGTTGTGTGTGTTGTGTGTGTGCTGTCTGTTGTGTGTGTTGTGTGTGCTGTGTGTGTGTTGTTTGTGTTGTGTGTGCTGTCTGGTGTTTGTGCTGTGTGTGTGCTGTGTCTGTTGTGTGTGTGTTGTGTGTGTGCTGTGTGTGCTGTGTGTGTGCTGTGTCTGTTGTGTGTGTTGTGTGTGCTGTGTCTGTTGTGTGTGTTGTGTGTGTGTTGTGTGTGCTGTGTCTGTTGTGTGTGTTGTGTGTGCTGTGTCTGTTGTGTGTGCTGTGTGTGTGTTGTGTGTGCTGTGTCTGGTGTTTGTGCTGTGTGTGTGCTGTGTCTGTTGTGTGTGCTGTGTATGTGTTGTGTGTGCTGTGTCTGGTGTTTGTGCTGTGTGTGTGCTGTGTCTGTTGTGTGTGCTGTGTGTGTGTTGTGTGTGCTGTGTGTGTGTTGTGTGTGCTGTGTGTCTGCTGTGTGTGTTGTGTGTGTGTCTGGTGTTTGTGCTGTGTGTGTGCTGTGTCTGTTGTGTGTGTTGTGTGTGTGTTATGTGTGCTGTGTCTGTTGTGTGTGCTGTGTGTGTGTGTTGTGTGTGCTGTGTCTGTTGTGTGTGTTGTGTGTGTGCTGTGTCTGTTGTGTGTGCTCTGTCTGTTGTATGTGTTGTGTGTGTGCTGTGTCTGTTGTGTGTGCTGTGTATGTGTTGTGTGTGCTGTGTGTGTGCTGTGTCTGTTGTGTGTGCTGTGTGTGTTGTGTGTGCTGTGTGTGCTGTGTATGTGTTGTGTGTGCTGTGTGTGTTGTATGTGCTGTGTGTGTTGTGTCTGTTGTGTGTGCTGTGTGTGTTGTGTGTGCTGTGTATGTGTTGTGTGTGCTGTGTGTGTTGTTTGTGTTGTGTGTGTAGTGTGTACTGTGTGTGTAGTGAGTGCTGTGTGTGTAGTGTGTGTAGTGAGTACTGTGTGTGTAGTGTGTGTAGTGTGTGTGTACTGTGTGTGTAGTGTGTGTGTACTGTGTGTGTAGTGTGTGCTGTGTGTGTAGTGTTTACTGTGTGTGTAGTGAGTGCTGTGTCTGTAGTGTGTGCTGTGTGTGTAGTGTGTGTAGTGAGTACTGTGTGTGTAGTGTGTGTAGTGTGTGTGTAGTGTGTGTAGTGTGTGCTGTGTGTGTAGTGTGTGTAGTGTGTGTGTAGTGTGTGTAGTGTGTGTGTAGTGTGTGTAGTGAGTACTGTGTGTGTAGTGTGTGCTGTGTGTGTAGTGTGTGCTGTGTGTGTAGTGTGTGCTGTGTGTGTAGTGTGTGTAGTGTGTGTAGTGAGTACTGTGTGTGTAGTGTGTGTGTAGTGTGTGTAGTGTGTGTGTACTGTGTGTGCTGTGTGTACTGTGTGTGTAGTGTGTGCTGTGTGTGTAGTGTTTACTGTGTGTGTAGTGTGTACTGTGTGTGTAGTGTGTGCTGTGTGTGTAGTGAGTGCTGTGTGTAGTGTGTGCTGTGTGTGTAGTGTGTGTAGTGTGTGTAGTGTGTGTGTATTGAGTGTAGTGTGTGCTGTGTGTGTAGTGTGTGTGCTGTGTGTAGTGTGTACTGTGTGTGTAGTGTGTGCTGTGTGTGTAGTGTGTGTAGTGTGTGTAGTGAGTGCTGTGTGTGTAGTGTGTGTGCTGTGTGTGTAGTGTGTGCTGTGTGTGTTGTGTGTGTGTCTGGTGTTTGTGCTGTGTGTGTGCTGTGTCTGTTGTGTGTGTTGTGTGTGTGTTATGTGTGCTGTGTCTGTTGTGTGTGCTGTGTGTGTGTGTGTTGTGTGTGCTGTGTCTGTTGTGTGTGTTGTGTGTGTGCTGTGTCTGTTGTGTGTGCTCTGTCTGTTGTATGTGTTGTGTGTGTGCTGTGTCTGTTGTGTTTGCTGTGTATGTGTTGTGTGTGCTGTGTGTGTGCTGTGTCTGTTGTGTGTGCTGTGTGTGTTGTGTGTGCTGTGTGTGCTGTGTATGTGTTGTGTGTGCTGTGTGTGTTGTTTGTGTTGTGTGTGTTGTGTTTGCTGCGTGTGTGCTGTGTACTGTGCTGTGTGTTTGCTGTGTGTGTGCTTTGTACTGTGCTGTGTGTGTGCTGTGTGTGTTGTGTGTGCTGTGTATGTGTTGTGTGTGCTGTGTGTGTGTTGTGTGTGCTGTGTGTGTTGTGGGTGCTGTGTGTGTTGTGTGTGTGCTGTGTGTGTTGTGTTTGGTGTGTGTGTTGTGTGTGCTGTGTGTGTAGTGTGTGCTGTGTGTGTGCTGTGTGTGTTGTGTGTGCTGTGTTTTGTTTGGTGTGTGTGCTATGTGTGTAGTGTGTGTAGTGTGTGTGTAGTGTGTGTGTAGTGTGTGCCTTGTGTAGTGTGTACTGTGTGTGTAGTGTGTACTGTGTGTGTAGTGTGTGTAGTGTGTACTGTGTGTGTAGTGTGTGTGTAGTGTGTGCTGTGTGTGTAGTGGGTGTAGTGTGTGCTGTGTGTGTAGTGTGTGTAGTGTGTACTGTGTGTGTAGTGTGTACTGTGTGTGTAGTGTGTACTCTGTGTGTAGTGTGTGCTGTGTGTGTAGTGTGTGTGTAGTGTGTGTAGTGTGTGTAGTGTGTACTGTGTGTGTAGTGTGTACTGTGTTTGTAGTGTGTGCTGTGTGTGCAGTGTGTACTGTGTGTGTAGTGTGTACTGTGTGTGTAGTGTGTGTAGTGTGTAGTGTGTACTGTGTGTGTAGTGTGTAGTGTGTACTGTGTGTGTAGTGTGTGTACTGTGTGTGTAGTGTGTGCTGTGTGTGTAGTGTGTGTGTAGTGTGTGTAGTGTGTGCTGTGTGCAGTGTGTACTGTGTGTGTAGTGTGTGTAGTGTGTGCTGTGTGCAGTGTGTACTGTGTGTGTAGTGTGTCCTGTGTGTGTAGTGTGTACTGTGTGTGTAGTGAGTGCTGTGTGTGTAGTGTGTACTGTGTGTGTAGTGTGTGCTGTGTGTGTAGTGTGTACTGTGTGTGTAGTGTGTGTAGTGAGTACTGTGTGTGTAGTGTGTGTAGTGTGTGTGTACTGTGTGTGTAGTGTGTGCTGTGTGTGTAGTGTTTACTGTGTGTGTAGTGAGTGCTGTGTCTGTAGTGTGTGCTGTGTGTGTAGTGTGTGTAGTGAGTACTGTGTGTGTAGTGTGTGTAGTGTGTGTGTAGTGTGTGTAGTGTGTGCTGTGTGTGTAGTGTGTGTAGTGTGTGTGTAGTGTGTGTGTAGTGTGTGCTGTGTGTGTAGTGTTTACTGTGTGTGTAGTGTGTACTGTGTGTGTAGTGTGTGTAGTGTGTGCTGTGTGCAGTGTGTACTGTGTGTGTAGTGTGTCCTGTGTGTGTAGTGTGTGTAGTGTGTGTAGTGTGTACTGTGTGTGTAGTGAGTGCTGTGTGTGTAGTGTGTACTGTGTGTGTAGTGTGTGCTGTGTGTGTAGTGTGTACTGTGTGTGTAGTGTGTGTAGTGAGTACTGTGTGTGTAGTGTGTGTAGTGTGTGTGTACTGTGTGTGTAGTGTGTGCTGTGTGTGTAGTGTTTACTGTGTGTGTAGTGAGTGCTGTGTCTGTAGTGTGTGCTGTGTGTGTAGTGTGTGTAGTGTGTGTGTAGTGTGTGTGTAGTGTGTGTAGTGTGTGTGTAGTGTGTGTAGTGTGTGTAGTGAGTACTGTGTGTGTAGTGTGTGTAGTGTGTGCTGTGTGTGTAGTGTGTGCTGTGTGTGTATAGTGTGTGTAGTGAGTACTGTGTGTGTAGTGTGTGTAGTGTGTGTGTAGTGTGTGTGTACTGTGTGTGCTGTGTGTACTGTGTGTGTAGTGTGTGCTGTGTGTGTAGTGTTTACTGTGTGTGTAGTGTGTACTGTGTGTGTAGTGTGTGCTGTGTGTGTAGTGAGTGCTGTGTGTAGTGTGTGCTGTGTGTGTAGTGTGTGTAGTGTGTGTAGTGTGTGTGTAGTGAGTGTAGTGTGTGCTGTGTGTGTAGTGTGTGTGCTGTGTGTGTAGTGTGTACTGTGTGTGTAGTGTGTGCTGTGTGTGTAGTGTGTGTAGTGTGTGTAGTGAGTGCTGTGTGTGTAGTGTGTGTGCTGTGTGTGTAGTGTGTACTGTGTGTGTAGTGTGTGTGCTGTGTGTGTAGTGTGTGCTGTGTGTGTAGTGTGTACTGTGTGTGTAGTGTGTGTGCTGTGTGTGTACTGTGTGTGTAGTGTGTGTAGTGTGTACTGTGTGTGTAGTGTGTACTGTGTGTGTAGTGTGTGCTGTGTGCAGTGTGTACTGTGTGTGTAGTGTGTACTGTGTGTGTAGTGTGTGCTGTGTGTGTAGTGTGTGTGTAGTGTGTGTAGTGTGTGCTGTGTGTAGTGTGTGCTGTGTGTGTAGTGTGTACTGTGTGTGTAGTGTGTACTGTGTGTGTAGTGTGTGTAGTGTGTGCTGTGTGTGTAGTGTGTGTGTAGTGTGTGTGTAGTGAGTGTAGTGCTGTGTGTGTAGTGTGTGTGTAGTGAGTGTAGTGCTGTGTGTGTAGTCGGCTTTGATAGCGAGGCGGTCGCTGTCTCTGTCTCTACCCCTGTCTCCCCGTGTCCCCGTGTCTCTGACCCCGTGTCCCCGTGTCTCTGACCCCGTGTCTCTGATCACGTGTCTCTGACCCCGTGTTCCCGTGTCTCCGTGTCTCTGTCCACCTGTGTCTCTAGGGTACGAGGCAGCAGCAGCAGCAGCTGCCTAGCGATGAGCGGTGGTGTTTCATGGCCGAGTGGCTGGACCCCCTGGCAGGCATCACTCGGAAATTCTCCTTTCGCTACTTCCCCCACGACCGCAGTGTGGAGATGGTGCGGACCCCTCACCCCTCACCCCTCACCCCTTACCCCTCACCCCTAGACCCCTCACCCCTCACCCCTCACCCCTAGACCCCTCACCCCTCACCCCTCACCCTAGACCCCTCACCCCTCACCCTAGACCCCTCACCCCTAGACCCCTCACCCCTAGACCCCTCACCCCTAGACCCCTCACCCCTCACCCTATGACCCCTCACCCCTAGACCCCTCACCCCTAGACCCCTCACCCCTCACCCCTCACCCTAGACCCCTCACCCCTAGACCCCTCACCTCTCACCCCTCACCCCTTACCCCTAGACCCCTCACCCCTCACCCCTCACCCTAGACCCCTCACCCCTCACCCCTCACCCTAGACCCCTCACCCCTCACCCTAGACTCCTCACCCCTAGACCCCTCACCTCTCACCCCTCACCCCTTACCCCTAGACCCCTCACCCCTCACCCCTCACCCTAGACCCCTCACCCCTAGACCCCTCACCTCTCACCCCTCACCCCTTACCCCTAGACCCCTCACCCCTCACCCCTCACCCTAGACCCCTCACCCCTCACCCCTCACCCTAGACCCCTCACCCCTCACCCTAGACTCCTCACCCCTAGACCCCTCACCTCTCACCCCTCACCCCTTACCCCTAGACCCCTCACCCCTCACCCTAGACCCCTCACCCCTCACCCCTCACCCTAGACCCCTCACCCCTCACCCTAGACTCCTCACCCCTAGACCCCTCACCTCTCACCCCTCACCCCTCACCCCTAGACCCCTCACCCTAGACCCCTCACCCCTCACCCTAGACCCCTCACCCCTAGACCCCTCACCCCTCACCCCTCACCCCTCACCCTAGACCCCTCACCCTAGACCCCTCACCCCTAGACCCCTCACCCCTCACCCCTAGACCCCTCACCCCTAGACCCCTCACCCCTAGACCCCTCACCCCTAGACCCCTCACCCCTAGACCCCTCACCCCTAGACCCCTCACCCCTCACCCCTAGACCCCTCACCCCTCACCCCTCACCCCTCACCCCTAGACCCCTCACCCCTCACCCCTCACCCCTAGACCCCTCACCCCTCACCCCTCACCCCTCACCCCTCACCCCTAGACCCCTCACCCCTAGACCCCTCACCCCTCACCCCTAGACCCCTCACCCCTCACCCCTCACCCCTCACCCCTAGACCCCTCACCCCTAGACCCCTCACCCCTCACCCCTAGACCCCTCACCCCTCACCCCTAGACCCCTCACCCCTAGACCCTTTCACCCCTAGACCCCTCACCCCTCATTCCTCACCCCTAGACCCCTCATTCCTCACCCCTAGACCCCTCAACCGTCACTCCTAGACCCCTCACCCCTCACCCCTAGACCCCTCACCCCTGTTAGTAGTGGGGGTGTTAGTAGCGGGGGTGTTAGTAGCAGTGTTAGTGTTAGTAGCGGGGGTGTTAGTAGTGGGGGTGTTAGTGTTAGTAGCAGGGGTGTTAGTAGCAGTGTTAGTGTTAGTAGTGGGGGTGTTAGTAGCGGGGGTGTTAGTAGCAGTGTTAGTGTTAGTAGCGGGGGTGTTAGTAGCAGTGTCAGTTTTAGTAGTGGGGGTGTTAGTAGCGGGGGTGTTAGTAGCAGTGTTAGTGTTAGTAGCAGGGGTGTTAGTAGCAGTGTTAGTGTTAGTAGTGGGGGTGTTAGTAGCGGGGGTGTTAGTAGCAGTGTTAGTGTTAGTAGCGGGGGTGTTAGTAGCAGTGTTAGTGTTAGTAGCAGGGGTGTTAGTAGCAGTGTTAGTGTTAGTAGCAGGGGTGTTAGTAGCAGTGTCAGTGTTAGTAGTGGGGGTGTTAGTAGCGGGGGTGTTAGTAGCAGTGTTAGTGTTAGTAGCAGGGGTGTTAGTAGCAGTGTTAGTGTTAGTAGTGGGGGTGTTAGTAGCGGGGGTGTTAGTAGCAGTGTTAGTGTTAGTAGCGGGGGTGTTAGTAGCAGTGTTAGTGTTAGTAGCAGGGGTGTTAGTAGCAGTGTCAGTGTTAGTAGTGGGGGTGTTAGTAGCAGTGTCAGTGTTAGTAGTGGGGGTGTTAGTAGCAGTGTCAGTGTTAGTAGTGGGGGTGTTAGTAGCGGGGGTGTTAGTAGTGGGGGTGTTAGTAGTGGGGGTGTTAGTAGTGGGGGTGTTAGTAGCGGGGGTGTTAGTAGCAGTGTTAGTGTTAGTAGCAGGGGTGTTAGTAGCAGTGTCAGTGTTAGTAGTGGGGGTGTTAGTAGCAGTGTCAGTGTTAGTAGTGGGGGTGTTAGTAGCGGGGGTGTTAGTAGTGGGGGTGTTAGTAGTGGGGGTGTTAGTAGCGGGGGTGTTAGTAGTGGGGGTGTTAGTAGTGGGGGTGTTAGTAGCGGAGGTGTTATTAGTGGGGGTGTTAGTAGCGGGTGTGTTAGTAGCAGTGTTAGTAGCAGTGTCAGTGTTAGTTGTGGGGGTGTTATTATCAGTGTTAGTAGTGGGGGTGTTAGTAGTGGGGGTGTTAGTAGTGGGGGTGTTAGTAGCGGGGGTGTTAGTAGCGGGGGTGTTAGTAGCGGGGGTGTTAGTAGCGGGGGTGTTAGTAGCGGGGGTGTTAGTAGCGGGGGTGTTAGTAGCGGGGGTGTTAGTAGCGGGGGTGTTAGTAGCGGGAGTGTTAGTAGCAGTGTTAGTAGCAGTGTTAGTAGCAGTGTTAGTGTTAGTAGCGGGGGTGTTAGTAGCGGGGGTGTTAGTAGCGGGGGTGTTAGTAGCAGGGGTGTTAGTAGTGGTGTTGTTAGTAGTGTTAGTGTTAGTAGTGTTAGTGTTAGTAGTGTTAGTGTTAGTAGTGTTAGTGTTAGTAGTGTTAGTGTTAGTAGTGGTGGTGTTAGTAGTGTTAGTAGTGTTAGTGTTAGTAGTGTTAGTGTTAGTAGTGTTAGTGTTAGTAGTGTTAGTAGTGGTGGTGTTATTAGTGGTGGTGTTAGTAGTGTTAGTAGTGTTAGTGTTAGTAGTGTTAGTGTTAGTAGTGTTAGTGTTAGTAGTGTTAGTGTTAGTAGTGTTAGTGTTAGTAGTGTTAGTAGTGGTGGTGTTAGTAGTGGTGGTGTTAGTAGTGTTAGTAGTGTTAGTGTTAGTAGTGTTAGTGTTAGTAGTGTTAGTGTTAGTAGTGTTAGTGTTAGTAGTGTTAGTGTTAGTAGTGTTAGTGTTAGTAGTGTTAGTAGTGGTGGTGTTAGTAGTGGTGGTGTTAGTAGTGTTAGTGTTAGTAGTGTTAGTGTTAGTAGTGGTGGTGTTAGTAGTGTTAGTAGTGTTATTAGTGTTAGTAGTGTTAGTGTTAGTAGTGTTAGTGTTAGTAGTGTTAGTGTTAGTAGTGTTAGTGTTAGTAGTGTTAATGTTAGTAGTGTTAATGTTAGTAGTGTTAGTAGTGGTTGTGTTAGTAGTGTTATTAGTGTTAGTAGTGTTAGTAGTGGTTGTGTTAGTAGTGTTAGTAGTGGTGGTGTTAGTAGTGTTAGTGTTAGTAGTGGTGGTGTTAGTAGTGTTAGTGTTAGTAGTGGTGGTGTTAGTAGTGTTAGTAGTGGTGGTGTTAGTGTTAGTAGTGTTAGTAGTGGTGGTGTTAGTAGTGGTGGTGTTAGTAGTGTTAGTGTTATTAGTGTTAGTAGTGGTGGTGTTAGTAGTGGTGGTGTTAGTGTTAGTAGTGTTAGTAGTGGTGGTGTTAGTAGTGGTGGTGTTAGTAGTGTTAGTGTTAGTAGTGTTAGTAGTGGTGGTGTTAGTAGTGGTGGTGTTATTAGTGTTAGTAGTGTTAGTAGTGGTTGTGTTAGTGTTATTAGTGTTAGTAGTGGTTGTGTTAGTAGTGTTAGTGTTAGTAGTGTTAGTGTTAGTAGTGTTAGTGTTAGTAGTGGTGGTGTTAGTAGTGTTAGTAGTGGTGGTGTTAGTAGTGGTGGTGTTAGTGTTAGTAGTGTTAGTGTTAGTAGTGTTAGTAGTGGTGGTGTTAGTAGTGGTGGTGTTAGTAGTGTTAGTGTTATTAGTGTTAGTAGTGGTGGTGTTAGTAGTGGTGGTGTTAGTGTTAGTAGTGTTAGTAGTGGTGGTGTTAGTAGTGGTGGTGTTAGTAGTGTTAGTGTTAGTAGTGTTAGTAGTGGTGGTGTTAGTAGTGGTGGTGTTATTAGTGTTAGTAGTGTTAGTAGTGGTTGTGTTAGTGTTATTAGTGTTAGTAGTGGTTGTGTTAGTAGTGTTAGTAGTGGTGGTGTTAGTAGTGTTAGTGTTAGTAGTGGTGGTGTTAGTAGTGTTAGTGTTAGTAGTGGTGGTGTTAGTAGTGTTAGTGTTAGTGGTGTTAGTAGTGGTGGTGTTAGTAGTGTTAGTGTTAGTAGTGGTGGTGTTAGTCGTGTTAGTGTTAGTAGTGTTAGTGTTAGTAGTGTTAGTAGTGGTGGTGTTAGTAGTGGTGGTGTTAGTAGTGGTGGTGTTAGTAGTGTTAGTAGTGTTAGTGTTAGTAGTGTTAGTGTTAGTAGTGTTAGTAGTGGTGGTGTTAGTAGTGGTTGTGTTAGTAGTGTTAGTGTTAGTAGTGTTAGTGTTAGTAGTGTTAGTGTTAGTAGTGTTAGTGTTAGTAGTGTTAGTGTTAGTAGTGTTAGTGTTAGTAGTGGTGGTGTTAGTAGTGTTAGTGTTAGTAGTGTTAGTGTTAGTAGTGTTAATAGTGTTAGGAGTGTTAGTGTTAGTAGTGTTAGTGTTAGTAGTGTTAGTGTTAGTAGTGTTAGTGTTAGTAGTGTTATTAGTGTTAGTAGTGGTGGTGTTAGTAGTGTTATTAGTGTTAGTAGTGGTGGTGTTAGTGTTAGTAGTGTTATTAGTGTTAGTGGTGTTAGTAGTGGTGGTGTTTGTGTCTCTCTCTGCGTGTGCCCCCAGCTGGAGCTCCGTACCCAGAGGCTCTTCCTGCGCCGCTCCCCGTGCCAGGGACTGGCGCCCAGCCAGGTGGCGCTGGGGGCTCGCCTGCTGGTGCTGGGGCGTGAACTCAGCCTCACGGCCTACGGAGACGCTCACACGCAGAGCCGCCTGTCACTCACTCGCCAGCGGTACTCACTAACACTCACTAACACTCACTCACTAACACTATCACTCACTAACACTCACTACCACTCACTAACACTCACTATCACTCACTCACTACCACTCACTACCACTCACTAACACTCACTCACTACCACTCACCGCCACTCACTCACTACCACTCACTACCACTCACTCACTATCACTCACTGCCACTCACTCACTAACACTCACTACCACTCACTCACTACCACTCATTACCACTCAGTAACACGCACTACCACTCACTCACTATCACTCACTACCACTCACTCACTAACACCTACACTCATTCACTAACACTCACTACCACTTACTACCACTCACTATCACTCACTCACTACCACTCACTAACACTCACTAACACTCACTAACTCACTACCACTCACTAACACTCACTAACCCTCACTATCACTCACTAACACTCACTAACACTCACTGACTACCACTCACTAACACTCACTATCACTCACTCACTACCACTCACTAACACTCACTCACTACCACTCACCGCCACTCACTCACTACCACTCACTACCACTCACTCACTATCACTCACTACCACTCACTCACTAACACTCACTACCACTCACTCACTACCACTCATTACCACTCAGTAACACGCACTACCACTCACTCACTATCACTCACTACCACTCACTCACTAACACCCACACTCATTCACTAACACTCACTACCACTTACTACCACTCACTATCACTCACTCACTACCACTCACTAACACTCACTAACACTCACTACCACTCACTCACTACCACTCACTACCACTCACCCCCACTCACTCACTCACTACCACTCACTACCACTAACTCACTACCACTCGCTGTGGTTGTGTGTGACTGTGTTTAGCTGTGTGACTGTGTTTAGCTGTGTGCTTGTGTAGCTGTGTGGTTGTGTAGCTGTGTGCTTGTGTGTAGCTGTGTAGCTGTGTGGTTGTGTGTAGCTGTGTGCTTGTGTAGTTGTGTGGTTGTGTAGCTGTGTGGTTGTGTAGCTCTGTAGCTGTGTTGTTGTGTGTAGCTGTGGTTGTGTATCCATATGGTTGTGTGTGGTTGTGTGGCTGTGTGTAGCTGTGTGTGTTTGTGTAGCTGAGTAGCTGCATGTAGTTGTGGTTGTGTAGGTGTGGTTGTGTGTAGCTTTGTGTGGTTGTGTGTAGCTGTGTGGTTGTGTGTAGCTGTGTGGTTGTGTGTAGCTGTGTGGTTGTGGGTATCTGTGTGTGTTTGTGTGTCCCTGTGTGTGTTTGTGTAGCAGTGTGGTTGTGTGTAGCTGTGTGGTTGTGTGTAGCTGTGTGTGTTTGTGTAGTAGTGTGTGTTTGAATAGCTGTGTGTGTTTGTGTAGCTGTGTGTGTTTGTGTAGCTGTGTGTGTTTGTGTAGCTGTGTGGTTGTGTGTAGCTGTGTGTGGTTGTGTGTAACTCTATGGTTGTGTGTAGCTGTGTGTGTTTGTGTAGCTGTGTGTGTTTGTGTAGCTGTGTGGTTGTGTGTAGGTGTGGTTGTGTGTAGCTGTGTGTGGTTGTGTGTAACTGTGTGGTTGTGTGTAGCTGTGTGTTTGTGTAGCTGTGTGTGTTTGTGTTGCTGTGTGGTTGTGTGTAGGTGTATCGTTGTGTGTAGCTGTGTGTAGCTGTATGGTTGTGTGTAGCTGTGTGGTTGTGTGTGATTGTGTAGCTGTGGTTGTGTGTAGCTGTGGTTGTATGTAGCTGTGTAGCTGTGTGGTTGTGTGTAGCCTTGTGTATTTGTGTGTAGCTGTATCGTTGTGTGTAGCTGTGTGGTTGTGTGTAGCTGCGTGGTTGTGTGTAGCTGTGTGCCTGTGTAGCTGTGTGGTTGTGTGTAGCTGTGTGGTTGTGTGTAGCTGTGTGTCTGTGTAGCTGTGTGGTTGTGTGTAGCTGTGTGTGTTTGTGTAGCTGAGTAGCTGTATGTAGTTGTGGTTGTGTGTAACTGTATCGTTGTGTGTAGCTGTGTGTAGCTGTGCGTGTTTGTGTAGCTGTGTGGTTGTGTGTAGCTGTGTGTAGCTGTATGGTTGTGTGTAGCTGTGTGTATCTGTATGGTTGTGTGTAGCTGTGTGGTTGTGTGTAGCTGTGTGTAGCTGTGTGGTTGTGTGTAGCTGTGTGTAGCTGTGTGGTTGTGTGTAGCTGTGTGTAGCTGTATGGTTGTGTGTAGCTGTGTGGTTGTGTGTAGCTGTGTGCTTGTGTATGGTTATGTGTGGCTGTAGGTCGCTGCTGCTGGTGAAACCGCATGCGGTGAGGTGGCTGGGCGAGGTGGTTGAGGAGCTGAGTCAGCGGGGGCTGCAGGTGACGCGGGTGAGGATGGTGCAGCTCACCCGGTGAGGAGCAAGTCTCACCACCACCACACCCTCATCACTGCATTACCACAGTCACACTCTTCACCACGACACAGCTAGCCGCCACACCCCTCACCACCACACCTCACCACCACACACCTTACCACCGCACGATAAGGCCACGTGAAGTGTTGAACGATCGCTGGCAGGAGGTTATGGGACAGACCCAGATGCCATGGGACAGACCCAGGTGCTATGGGATAGACCCAGGTGCCATGGGACAGACCCAGGTGCCATGGGACAGACCCAGGTGCCATGGGACAGACCCAGGTGCCATGGGACAGACCCAGGTGCCATGGGACAGACCCAGGTGCCATAGGACAGACCCAGATGCCATGGGTTCACTGACTGAGATGACTGATGCACCACCTGTGCTCCCCACTCTACCAACATGCTGTGTTTTAGCTTCCCGACGCTCCGTTTGTTGTTGTAAGTGTCGCTCCTCTGCCCTCTGTTGTTGCTGGAGGGTGACTGCCTCTAACTGCCCAGTAGCAGCATCCTTCACGAGCCTCCTCCACAGAGGCCGATCTTGGCACCGCTGGTACCAGTCATCGGCAAGTCCACTCAGCTCCACATTCTCTTCTCCCACATCACTCCATCTCTTCTCTAGCCTGTTCCGCGCCCATTTAGCCCCCTCTATCTAGCTGAATAAAAGCTGTTTAGGCACGCGGTGGCTGGACATGCGGGCTACATGTCCCAGCCAATGCAGCTTTACCTGCTGAAGGAGCTCACCGATGGGACTTTGTCCAGATCTTTCAAGGATTTCTGAGCTCCTCACCCAATCTAGCCTGGTTAAACCCATTGTTTATAACTGGCGAAGATGTCCCATTTGGGGGGTCCACGTTTCACAAGCATGGAGAAGGGAGGGCATGACCGTGGCCAAGAAGACCCAAAGCTTCCTGTGGAGCGACAGACCAGGTAGCTTCCACACAGCAGCGTTATGCAGCCGATGAAAAGATAATGCCGCTAAACTGATTTGGAGTGAGGCCTCTGGTGTCAAATCGGAGCTAGTCATGAGTGCATGGCCCAGGTATAGAAAATGCTCCACTCTCAGCGCAACTGCCCATAACCAATGGGGAGTTGGGGAGTGGAATGTTTGATGGCACAAAATACCCAAGCAGGTGCTTAGTTTTGATGGGGCTGAGGTAAGGCCCCACCTCTTAGTGGCACACTCCAGATTCAGCAGCAGTGCCTCCAACTCTTCTGAGTGAGTAACAATCACCAGATCATCAGCATACATAACATAGTTGACCAACAGGGAGCCATCCCTTGACCACACCCGGGCATCGATCAGCCCCCGATTGTATCTGTACCAGATGGAGATTCCTCCGGTACAGCCATACATGGCTTCACGAACTACATAATCAAAATATATGTTAAATAATATGGGAGCCAGAGGACATCCCTGTTGCACCCCAAGGTGAACAGGAATGGCACCGACTCCCGGCCACTTAGTTTTTACCCAGGCCTACCCACCATCGTGAAGGTCCTTAATGATTGTGAGCAGAGGGTCAGGGACTCCGAAAGCATGAAGGACAAACCAGAGCCCAGGCCTATTCATGGTATCATTGGCCTTACCCAGGTCAATAAAGCATAGATGTAGGTCCTGTTGGAATTCCCTGCACCTCCGCTGTAGCAGACGGACAGAAAATATGGCAAGACCACCCTTTATTGAAACCACATTGGGGCTCCGCAAGCCTCTCCTCAGCCTGCCTGGATAGGCGATGTTGAATAATCCTTGCAAGGACCTTTCCTGGCACACTGAGGAGGGAGATGCCCCTGTAGTTGTTAAGTCTGTGCAGTCCCCCTTCTTAAAGAAGGGGACAACCAGGGCATAATTCCAATCCTGCGGAACCCTTGCAGTGGTCCAGATTGTTGTTATGATGTCATATAGGGCAGTCTGCACACAAAAACCACTCTCCCTTGGCATTTCACTTGGGAAATCATCTCTGCCCGGTGCTTTTCCTGGTCTCAGACTCAAACTCCTTCCATACTTCCTCAACAGATGGCACTTCAGCCAGCCACTCATAGGGGGTGACTACTTCTTACAATATTTGAGGCACCGCAGCCTCAGCAGGGTCATCCTCACTTTTCCCAATGATATTTTCCAGGCTGAGGGATTTCCCCTCTCCCCAAAACCTCACAAATGCTTGGCAAATCTGCAAACCTGTTCCTGGGAGTCATAGATCGGATCATTTTTTTTCCCCCTAATGATGGTGATAGGTGTGACGCTGCAAGTTATTTTTTGATAGAGTTTAAGGGTGACTTGTGATCGCAGGCTGCTGAGGCAGACTCCATCTTCTCAGCAACCTATGACCACCACCCATCCTTGCAGCGGGCTGTCAGCCAGAGTCTCTGGGGAGGTTTGGACCCTGTATCCAAAGCAGCCATTGCAGCTGCATGAACCGCAGCTCTAAAGCTGATCCATTTCCCATCAGCTTCAGGAGGAGGTGGGGTACGATGCCAACCTCTGCAAGCATTGATGAGCTTTTATCAGCTAGCTGTGACCAGGCCACTGGGGGTTTGAATGGGGTCCTAGATATACACGCACCACCAGCGTGAAAGAATGGCGAGCGCATCTTACATTTGACAAGCCGATGGTCAGTGAGCAGATCAACTTCACGGTCGGTCCTCGTGTCAAGGACATGGGCCCGTTGTGTGGATGGACCGATGCCGGAACAGCGTGTTGGAAATTAAAAGCCCATGGACTGCACAGAAGTCTAGCAGCCTCCTACCGTTGTTATTGAGCTAATCTGGCCCATGCCTTCCAATCATTCCAGCCCAGGTGCCAGCATCATGACCCACTCGGGCATTAAAGTCACCCAACAAGATGACTATCCCGAGGAGGTCGTAGAAGGCATCTGAATCATCAGCCTTGCCTGAATCCCTCCACTGATGTTCATCTTCGTTGGGGACATAAGTAACCACGACCACTCCTCGCCGCTGGTTGATGGGAAGGTGAGCCCACAGCAGCCTGGGGCTTACAGCTTCCCACATCTCACTGCCACGCTCCCACGCCCCCATCATTATTTCGTTCAGAAGAAGAGCCACTGCCTGTTAATTGGCAGTCTCCTGCCCCGAGTGTCCACCCCTCATGGTGACTGGAGCTAGAGCCAGTCCACCGGACCTCTTGAAAACTGCAGAGATTCAGGCGGTACCGGTCCAGCTCCTGACAGAGGAGTGGCAGCCTCTCCTCCGCAGTGAGCATTCCAACATTCCACGTGGTGACTAGCAGTGGTTTTTTGCTGTTTTTGGAAGAATCCCGATGGTGCGGTTTCGGCCTGCTGGCTCCGACAAATGTGGTTTGGGCAGGAGACGTCATAGACGCCTGTCTCCCCGGGGTGTCCGGCACAAGCTTGGTTAGATTTTTGTCCACGTAGTTTAGTGGTACTTGGGTTGAAGGTGGAGAGGTTACCAGCCCCTCGCACCCACCCAGGGCCCCCTTTGGCCGCCATGAGGGAAATGGTCAATTGAACATTGCTCACTACAGCATTACCGTCAGGCACCACCGAAGAGGTAGTGGGTTGTTTTGCCACCACCACCACCACCACCGCACGCCTCACCACACCGATCATCACCACACACCTCACCACCACCACCACACACCTCACCACCACTGCATCACTACCACCGCATCACCACACACCTCACCCCCGCACACCTCACCGCACACTTTACTACCACATCTGTTACCACTAATGGCAGAGCCAGGATATTCAGGTAAGGGGGGCAACTCCTCCAGCCATGAAAAATGATGGAGGAGTTGTTATTAGTCAGTAAGGACTTGTCCCTTGCTTTTTACTCGACGCACGTGCGGCGATGGCGCTCCGAACCGCGCTGTGTGATTGGCATCGCGCTCACTCAAGGGAAGTCGTGTACTGTATACGCAACTTCGCACGATCCTGTGAGTCACTTAAAACTGCTTTGCCGTTACTTATTGCCAATTGAAGACTCGCCAACATCATCATCATCATCACCCCCGCCATCATCCCACCACCCCCACCACCATCCCCCCACCATCATCACCTCCACCATCATCAACCCACCATCATCCCTCCCACCATCATCACCCCCACCATCATCCCTCCCACCATCATCACCCCCACCATCATCCCCCCCACCATCATCACCCCACCATCATCACCCCCACCATCATCACTCCCACCATCATCACCCCACCATCATCTCCCCCACCATCATCACCCCACCATCATCTCCCCCACCATCATCACCCCACCATCATCACCCCCACCATCCCCATCATCACTCCCACCATCATCAACCCACCATCATCAATCCACCATCATCACCCCACCATCATCTCCCCCACCATCATCACCCCACCATCATCACCCCACCATCATCACTCCCACCATCATCACTCCCACCATCATCTTCCCACCATTATCACCACCCCCACCATCACGACCCCCACCATCATCACCCCACCATCATCACCACACCATCCCCATCATCACCCCCATCATCACCACTCCCACCATCATCACCACCCCCACCATCACCACCCCCACGATCACCACACCAATCATCACCACCCCCACCATCATCACCCCCACCATCATCACCCCCATAATCGTCACCCGTACCATCGTCTTCCCCGCTATCATCACCACCGCTATAACCACCCCCTCCCCCACCCCCCGTGTCCCTGCTGCAGGGAGCGAGCTGCTGACTTCATCTCTGTGGAGCAGCAGCAGCAGCAGCAACAGGAGGAGCAGCAGGAAGAGCAGGAGCAGGGGGCGGCACCCACTCTGGAGTGAGACCCCCTCCCTGGGTCCCAGCTCCCCTGGGTCCCAGCTCCCCTGGGTTCCAGCTCCACTGGGTTCCAGCTCCACTGGGTCCCAGCTCCCCTGGGTCCCAGCTCCCCTGGGTCCCAGCTCCACTGGGTCCCAGCTCCACTGGGTCCCAGCTCCACTTGGTTCCAGCTCCACTGGGTTCCAGCTCCCCTGGGTCCCAGCTCCCCTGGGTTCCAGCTCCACTGGGTTCCAGCTCCACTGGGTTCCAGCTCCCCTGGGTTCCAGCTCCACTGGGTTCCAGCTCCCCTGGGATTCCAGCTCCACTGGGTCCCAGCTCCCCTGGGTCCCAGCTCCACTGGGTCCCAGCTCCCCTGGGTCCCAGCTCCACTGGGTCCCAGCTCCACTGGGTTCCAGCTCCCCTGGGTTCCAGCTCCACTGGGTTCCAGCTCCACTGGGTCCCAGCTCCACTGGGTCCCAGCTCCGCTGGGATTCCAGCTCCCCTGGGTCCCAGCTCCACTGGGTTCCAGCTCCCCTGGATCCCTGCTCCACTGGGTTCCAGCTCTCCTGGGTTCCAGCTCCCCTGGATCCCTGCTCCCCTGGGTTCCAGCTCCACTGGGTTCCAGCTCCACTGGGTTCCAGCTCCACTGGGTCCCAGCTCCACTGGGTTCCAGCTCCACTGGGTTCCAGCTCCCCTGGATCCCTGCTCCACTGGGTTCCAGCTCTCCTGGGTTCCAGCTCCCCTGGATCCCTGCTCCCCTGGGTTCCAGCTCCACTGGGTTCCAGCTCTCCTGGGTTCCAGCTCCACTGGGTTCCAGCTCCACTGGGTCCCAGCTCCACTGGGTTCCAGCTCCCCTGGGTTCCAGCTCCACTGGGTTCCAGCTCCCCTGGGTCCCAGCTCCACTGGGTTCCAGCTCCACTGGGTTCCAGCTCCACTGGGTTCCAGCTCCCCTGGATCCCTGCTCCCCTGGATCCCTGCTCCCCTGGGTCCCAGCTCCACTGGGTTCCAGCTCCACTGGGTTCCAGCTCCACTGGGTTCCAGCTCCACTGGGTTCCAGCTCCACTGGGTCCCAGCTCCACTGGGTTCCAGCTCCACTGGGTTCCAGCTCCACTGGGTCCCAGCTCCACTGGGTTCCAGCTCCCCTGGGATTCCAGCTCCACTGGGTCCCAGCTCCCCTGGGTCCCAGCTCCACTGGGTCCCAGCTCCACTGGGTCCCAGCTCCACTGGGTCCCAGCTCCCCTGGGTTCCAGCTCCACTGGGTTCCAGCTCCACTGGGTCCCAGCTCCCCTGGGTTCCAGCTCCACTGGGTTCCAGCTCCCCTGGGTTCCAGCTCCACTGGGTTCCAGCTCCACTGGGTCCCAGCTCCACTGGGTCCCAGCTCCCCTGGGTCCCAGCTCCACTGGGTCCCAGCTCCACTGGGTCCCAGCTCCACTGGGTCCCAGCTCCACTGGGTCCCAGCTCCCCTGGGATTCCAGCTCCACTGGGTCCCAGCTCCCCTGGGATTCCAGCTCCCCTGGGTTCCAGCTCCCCTGGGTTCCAGCTCTCCTGGGTTCCAGCTCCACTGGGTTCCAGCTCCACTGGGTTCCAGCTCCACTGGGTCCCAGCTCCACTGGGTTCCAGCTCCCCTGGGTCCCAGCTCCACTGGGTTCCAGCTCCACTGGGTCCCAGCTCCACTGGGTTCCAGCTCCCCTGGGATTCCAGCTCCACTGGGTCCCAGCTCCCCTGGGTTCCAGCTCCCCTGGGTTCCAGCTCCACTGGGTTCCAGCTCTCCTGGGATTCCAGCTCCACTGGGTTCCAGCTCCACTGGGTCCCAGCTCCACTGGGTCCCAGCTCCACTGGGTTCCAGCTCCACTGGGTCCCAGCTCCACTGGGTTCCAGCTCCCCTGGGTTCCAGCTCCACTGGGTTCCAGCTCCCCTGGGTTCCAGCTCTCCTGGGTTCCAGCTCCCCTGGGTTCCAGCTCCCCTGGGTTCCAGCTCCGCTGGGATTCCAGCTCCCCTGGGTCCCAGCTCCCCTGGGTTCCAGCTCCACTGGGTCCCAGCTCCGCTGGGATTCCAGCTCCCTTGAGTCCTAGAATCCTTGGCTATGTCCCCGTGGTATGGCCCCCATGGGAAGTCCCAAATCCCGGCCATTATGAGCCAATTAGTATTGATGACTGGCAGATGGCATTTGTGCGATGAGGGTGCGCGTGCCTGCGGTGAACCGCACGCACGCACACGCACACGCACGCACACACACCCACGCACACGCACGCATACACACACATACACACACATACACACACATACACACACACCCACCCACGCGCACGCGTGTGTGCCGCAGATGTGGGATGCACGTGTGGGGCACGTGTGGTTCGCAGACAAAGACAAAGGTCCCCTGTGTAGCCTTAACATACTGTAGGGGCAAATGCTTTTAGCGAGTAGCAGCGCCTATGAAGGCCAGCACGGTACACCAGCGGAATTGGTGGCCAGCACCACGCCCAGCCGCCTTTGTATCCCCAGTTCTGCCATGTTGTTACTCCAGTCCACCAGCAGGTTACTCTTTTAAGGCTGAGTCGACCTAGGGGAAGCCCAGGCTTGGTTCAAATAATCGTCACTGGTGTTGGCCCTGAGCGGGAATCGAACTCTGGCCACCGGGTTCATAGCACGGTATGTGTGTATCTCTATCTCTGTGTGTGTCTATCGATTTATATCTATCTATACGCATCCCCCCGCCCATCCCAGCGAGCTCCTGGTCCAGCTGATCTCCGGCCCCGCCGTGGCCTTGGAGCTGCAGGGGGAGGGGGCCGTGGGGGTCGTGGCCTCCGCCCTGGGGCCCAGCGACCCCCAGCAGGCGAGGGCCACCAGCCCGGCCAGCCTAAGGGCCCGCTACGGCGTCAGCGGGGCCCTCAATGTGGGGCACGCGCCACGCGACGTCACCACAGCGCAGCGGGTACAGCGCAACCTCCAACACAACCACCGTCACCACCACCAGCATCACCGTCACCACCACAAGCATCACCACCACAAGCATCACCGTCACCACCACAAGCATCACCACCACAAGCATCACCGTCACCACCACAAGCATCACCACCACAAGCATCACCGTCACCACCACAAGCATCACCGTCACGACTACCGTCGCCATCGTGCAACGGCCACCACCGCCAACATCACTCCACGCAAACCACCGTCACCACCACACGCATCACCATCATGCCATCGCCACCACCGCAACAGCCAGAACCACAACAACCACCACCACGACCAACTTGTTAAACAAATATGGCCTCCTCCTAAGGGTCAACACCACAGACCATGCCGAGGGGGCTGTCGGGGTGGAAGGGGGCGAGCGGCGCGGCTCGCGCAGCCAGATCCCCACCAGCTACCCCTAAATCATTTGGCCCCTTTCTCCCATAATTCCTCTCGTCTGTCCCTGCCATCTGCCACCCTCTGAATGCCCCCCCCCCCCATCTTCACGACGTGCGACTCTTTCTAACCTCGTCGCCATCCTTCTACATTCTAAAAAAAAAACACCCTGCCCCCCACTCCCCTTCGCCGCTCCCTCCACCCATTGGCTCCATTCACCGAGGCCTCTAGAATTCCCGCTCAGGTCTGTAACAAGCCACGTTTCCACGCCTTTGGTCTAGCATTTTCAGAAACCTGGATATCCACATTGAAACGCTGCCACCCCAGCTGCGCTTTGAACATCTCGCACCAACTTCATTCATTCACCACGACCCTCTGGTCGTGGTGACCCAACACAACCACCGTCACCACCACAAGCATCATCGTCACCACCACAAGCATCATCGTCACCACCACAAGCATCACCGTCACCACCACAAGCATCACCACCACAAGCATCACCGTCACCACCACAAGCATCATCGTCACCACCACAAGCATCACCACCACAAGCATCACCGTCACCACCACAAGCATCACCACCACAAGCATCACCGTCACCACCACAAGCATCACCACCACAAGCATCACCGTCACCACCACAAGCATCATCGTCACCACCACAAGCATCACCGTCACCACCACAAGCATCACCGTCACCACCACAAGCATCATCGTCACCACCACAAGCATCACCGTCACCACCACAAGCATCACCACCACAAGCATCACCGTCACCACCACAAGCATCACCGTCACCACCACAAGCATCACCGTCACCACCACAAGCATCACCGTCACCACCACAAGCATCATCGTCACCACCACAAGCATCACCACCACAAGCATCACCGTCACCACCACAAGCATCACCACCACAAGCATCACCGTCACCACCACAAGCATCACCACCACAAGCATCACCGTCACCACCACAAGCATCACCGTCACCACCACAAGCATCACCACCACAAGCATCACCGTCACCACCACAAGCATCACCACCACAAGCATCACCGTCACCACCACAAGCATCACCGTCACCACCACAAGCATCACCGTCACCACCACAAGCATCACCACCACAAGCATCACCGTCACCACCACAAGCATCACCGTCACCACCACAAGCATCACCGTCACAAGCATCACCGTCACCACCACAAGCATCACCACCACAAGCATCACCGTCACCACCACAAGCATCACCCTCACCACCACAAGCATCACCACCACAAGCATCACCGTCACCACCACTACAAGCATCACTGTCACCACCACAAGCATCACCACCACAAGCATCACCACCACAAGCATCACCGTCACCACCACAAGTATCACCACCACAAGCATCACCGTCACCACCACAAGCATCACCACCACAAGCATCACCACCACAAGCATCACCGTCACCACCACAAGCATCATCGTCACCACCACAAGCATCACCGTCACCACCACAAGCATCACCGTCACCACCACAAGCATCACCACCACAAGCATCACCACCACAAGCATCACCGTCACCACCACAAGCATCACCGTCACCACCACAAGCATCACCGTCACCACCACAAGCATCACCGTCACCACCACAAGCATCACCGTCACCACCACAAGCATCACCACCACAAGCATCACCACCACAAGCATCACCGTCACCACCACAAGCATCACCACCACAAGCATCACCACCACAAGCATCACCGTCACCACCACAAGCATCACCGTCACCACCACAAGCATCACCACCACAAGCATCACCGTCACCACCACAAGCATCACCGTCACGACTACCGTCGCCATCGTGCAACGGCCACCACCGCCAACATCACTCCACGCAAACCACCGTCACCACCACACGCATCACCATCATGCCATCGCCACCACCGCAACAGCCAGAACCACAACAACCACCACCACGACCAACTTGTTAAACAAATATGGCCTCCTCCTAAGGGTCAACACCACAGACCATGCCGAGGGGGCTGTCGGGGTGGAAGGGGGCGAGCGGCGCGGCTCGCGCAGCCAGATCCCCACCAGCTACCCCTAAATCATTTGGCCCCTTTCTCCCATAATTCCTCTCGTCTGTCCCTGCCATCTGCCACCCTCTGAATGCCCCCCCCCCCCATCTTCACGACGTGCGACTCTTTCTAACCTCGTCGCCATCCTTCTACATTCTAAAAAAAAAACACCCTGCCCCCCACTCCCCTTCGCCGCTCCCTCCACCCATTGGCTCCATTCACCGAGGCCTCTAGAATTCCCGCTCAGGTCTGTAACAAGCCACGTTTCCACGCCTTTGGTCTAGCATTTTCAGAAACCTGGATATCCACATTGAAACGCTGCCACCCCAGCTGCGCTTTGAACATCTCGCACCAACTTCATTCATTCACCACGACCCTCTGGCATGCCTGGTGGCGGCGCTGGGTTGCTCTTCTCCTTAATCTGGAACCCTTCACCTCCACCTGTTTCTGAATTTCAACTCTCCTCATTCTCCTTCCCCTTTGCATTTTCACTTCTAATCCTTTACCGCCCCCTGGCCGGCGCTCCTCGTTCTTCGACGAACTGGGAACTGGATTGCCTTCTCTCCGCTAGCTCATCTCCGCCGATTCTTCTGGGAGACGTAAACCTCCATCTTTACTTCGCCATCTACCCCCTCAACTTGAATGTCTCTCACTGCCTCTTTCAGCCTCCGTCTGGTCTCCTCTCCTCTGACTTACTCCACCGGTAGCACGCTGGATTTTATCTTCACTTCCACTTGCTCAGCTTCCCATGCCCTAGTTGACCCACATCCTCCGTCCGATCACCTATTACTGACTGTGACACTCACAATTCCATCCAACCTTTCATCCCCCTCCACGCCTCTGCCGAAATCTATGCTCCTCTGATCACTCTGCACTTAATTCCCTAGTTTCCTCTTAGCTTCTGCCCCTATCAGATGTCTCCGACCTCCACCCAGACAAAGCATCATCCATCCTACATTCTGCACTATCCTATTCCTCCTAGGCCTTTGCTGACACATGGGCTAAAGATTCTGCGTCGCCTCGTACGCAAAGCCGAGCGAAGCTAGAAGATTCTATCCCCTTCTGATTCCCACCCTATCCCCTTCTGACTCCCACCCTATCCCCTTCTGATTCCCACCCTATCCCCTTCTGATTCCCACCCTATCCCCTTCTGATTCCCACTCTATCCCCTGTTGATTCCCACTCCTATTTCCTCTCCCCTCATGTATTCCCTCTCCGTGCACCCTGCTCTGCTAGTTTCTACCTTAAATACTCTGCTACGTCCTGCTCCATCCTCAACTCATTTTTAGTCTTCTGCCCCCTCCCCTGTAGTCATTTCCAACTATTTCTTGTAGAAGATTACTCAAATTTGTTTCTGCGTCCCTTCCTGTCAGCACCATTCCTACCGACCCCTCTCCTCCCTCCCCTACTTCAAACATCATCTCCAAAACTCACAACCACCTTCTCCTCCCTTGATCCCCTACCGCCTTCCCTGCTCCTATCTGTCATCCCCACTTTCCTTCCGGACCTCCGAGCTCTCTTCAACTGTTCCCTCTCGTCTGGAATCTTCAAAAATGCCATCGTCCGACTCCTTCTAAAAGAACATCCCTAGCTCCCTCCATCCCTGCACACTATCGCCCCATTTCTTGCTTTCCTGCTTCTCCAATCTCCGTGACCGCCTCGTTCCCACCTGACTCACTTCCTACATCTCTTCTCACGCTCTTGATCCCCTCCACCAATCTGCTTTCCGCCCTCTCCATTCCACCGAAACCGCTCTCCTCCACGTGCACAACCACTTGGCGAACTCACGCCACTCGGGCCTATCATCCGTCCTAATTTCGCTTGATCACTCCATCCTCTTATCCACTCTGTCGAACCTCGGTATCTCTGGCACCCCACTTTGCTGGCTCTGGCCTTACCTCACTTCCCGTTCATCCACCGTCTCTTTTAACCGTGGTTCTTCCTCCCCCGTTACGGTCGGTATCCCCCAGGGGTCTGTACTTGGTATTGTCCCTGTCGACGCCCCCCCTCGAACCCATCCTAGCTTCTTACAATCTCTCGTATCACCTATTCGCCAACCACACGCAAATCTGATTTTCCTTTAAGGCTCTTACCCCCCCCGACCTTTCCGACCACATCTCAACCTGCCTAACAGCCATCCAAGCATGAATGAAACAACATTTCCTTTCCCTTAACCCTTCTCAAACCACTGCGCTCTCCTTCCCCCTCCCCCTCCATACTTTGTCCCCGCTCATTCTCCCCTCGATTGCTTCCGTTCAAATTCTTGGCATCACCTTTGATTTCTCCCTTGCCTTCACTCCCACATCGCCGACTTCGCTCACACATGCCACTTCAATCATTTCAATATGAGGAAAATCAGCCCCCACATCACCATCGCCGCTGAAAAACGTATTGTGCCCTCCCTAGTCTTTGCGCATCTTGATTATTGCAACTCGCTGCTGGCTACAGCCACCGTCTTTAACTTCTCTTCACCTCCCTTTACTCCCCTCTCCTTCAGCAACTTCGCAGGCTTCCTATCTTTCACCGCTGTCTCTTTAAATTGCTCACCTTGATTGTCAAAGCTTTGCATGGACTGCGCCCCCCTTACCTATCTTCTATCATTTCCTTACATGAACCTTATGGCGGGACCCCAGGGTCCCCTAAACCTCCGGCTCTTGCATAAACTGCGTTGCGACGTCATTTTATGTCTGTTGAAGGCAAACGATACGGCAATCTATTCCTATCGACGAGCTCCGCACGATGCGCTAATCAAAGTTTCAAAGTTTTGTTTACGACTACGGCAATTTTGGCAATGAAGGGTGCTTGGTGAAGAACGAGTAGACGATTGACTTCTGGTGGGTCGCGGCGGCGATGTGCGCGGTGGGACGGAGTCGCCGAAAATAAATTAGTGAATTACGATTTTGACTGCCATTTATTTGGGACCCCGGGGTCCCGCCATGAGGTTCCGATGTCCCATCACGCCTGGTCACAGGCTGCCTCTCTTCTTGCTATCCCTCCTCCTCCTCCTGCGCCCAATCTCACTTGCACTCTTCACTCTGCTTGGCCCCTACACTGGAACAAACTCCCCCTTCTCATCCGACTCTCCCCCTCGCTTTCTTCTTGTCGCTCTGCCCTCAGGTCCTGTCTCTTTTCTCTACTGCCTTTCCCTTCCTCTTCCGCTACCCCTACCTGCACCACCTAACGCCCCTGAGCTCTCCCCTCCACCCCTAGTTACTACCCCATCTCCCACGTTGCCAAAGCCCTTCCTCAGCCCCAGTCACTGCCCCTACCCCATTGTTCCCTAAAACCTGCCTCACCCATGCCCTTCCTGGGAGCTCATTTGTCCGGCCACCAGACCACTGCACCTGGATCCTCAATCTGTTTACATCTACGCTTAGCCTAGCAACCCATTGACCCGATGATTCCGTGCGCTCACTTCATACCGTACCATCCACCTTCACGCTACCCCCTTCTATCATCCTCATCCACTATCACGCTCCAGCCGTTCCTCCTTCAACATCCTGCACCATCGCCTCCTTCCCCTGTTGCCACAGCTCATTCCTTTTACAAACACGATCACTAATGGCCGTACGAACGCATTCATCCTTGCCTTATGTTTGCCATTTTCTACCGTAGCCGATGGACATTGTCAAGCGTTTTGGAGAGAGGCCCTTTATGAATCCAAAACAACATAGAATAGAACCACAAGCATCACCATCAGAACAACCATCACAACCACCGCAACTGCTGCAACAACAACCACCACAACCACAACCACCACAACCGCTACGACATCAGCGGGGCCCTCAAGGCGGGGCACGCGCCACGTGACGCCCCGCACAGCCCAGCACGTACAGCACTACCACCACCGCCACCACAACCACAACAGCCACAACAACCACAAACGTCACCGCCACAACATAACCATCACCGCACGCATCACCATCATGCAAACCGCCACCACCACAACTGCCACAACAATCGCCACCACTATCGCCACAACCGCAAAAACCACAACAACCGCAGCATCAACCGCAACCGCTAGGGGGTCAGCAGCGGAGGGGCCCTCGACACGGGGTAGGCTCCCCCGGACGTCACCGAAGCGCAGCGCGCACGGCACAACCACCACAACAACCACCACAACCGCCACCGTGCAAGCCACATCACCACAAGCATCAGCGCCACCACGCAATCACCACCACAGGCAACAAGGTCCCCATCACAGTCACCATCATACAACCACCAGCACGACCGCCACAACCACAACATTCGCCATCACAACCGGAGCAACCGCCACAACCACCACAACCGCTACGGGGTGAGCAGCGATGTGGGGGCACACTTCCCATGATGTTGCGGAAGCGCAGCGGGTACAGCACAACCGCAACAACCACAACAACCACCGTCACCACAAGCATCACCACCATCACGATGACCATCGCCATCACAGTTCTTCAATAAGGGCGGATGCCAGGTTTATTAGGGGCTTACGCCTAGGAACTAATGGGGCTTACGCCCAACAGCGGATAGCTAGTATAATTCTCCCCGGGGGGAAGGGTACTGGGAGGTCCCTAGCGCCCACCCAGGCTATTCGGGCTCTTCCCTCAGCACCGACCGAGGGATCAGCCAACTCGGTCGGCCGGGTGAAGTAGCCCCCCTAGGCTGGTGCTGATCTCCCCTTGCCCTGGGTCCTCACTCTTTAGCTCTCTCGTTCCCGGCCCCTGACGACAACCTCGCTCACGTCACGGGTCTCTGCTTATATGTCCCAGGGAACCATGACCTCATCCATTATCTCCCCCAGGGTGACACGACGTCATCAATTACTCCTCTACACAACCACCACCACCACGACCGCCGCAATCACAATCTCCGCAACCGCCACAAGCACAAGCATCACCGTCACGAGGCAACCACCACCACCACCACCACACGCATCACCGTCATGCAACCGCCACCACAACAGCAACCACCACAACTGCAACAACCACCACAACCACAACAAACCACAACAACCACCACCGTCACCACTACCATGCAACCGCCACCATCATGCAACCACCACCATGCAACCACCAACGCAACCACCAACACAACCACCACCGCAACCACCACCATCACCACTTTCATGCAACCACCATTATGCAACTACCACCATCACCACTTCCATGCAACAACCACCATGCAACCACCACCATCAGCACCACCATGCAACTGCCACCCACCATGCAACCACCACCGCAACTACCACCATCACCACTCCCATGCAACCACCCCCACCATGTAACCATCACCACCTCAACCACCGCCACCACACAACCACCACCACCTTCACCACACAACCACTGCCACCACACAACCACCACACAACCGCCATGACCACACCATCACCACACAACCGACACTAAACCACCACCACCACACAACCACCTTCACGGCTCTCGTTGTGGTAGGAGCTGGCGTGGTTCTTCCCTGACGAGGCTGGAGCCGGCGGTGATGCTGGCGGTGGTGGTGGTCGGTTGGGGAACACGGCGCGGCTCGGAGAGGTCACCTGCTGCATCGTCAAACCGCACGCGCTCGCCACAGGTACCACGCTCACCACACTCGCCATACTCACCACCCTCACCGCAGTAACGACGCTCACCACACTCACTGCAGTACCACACTCGCCACACTCACTACACTCGCCACACTCACCACACTCATCGCAGGTACAACGCGCACCATACTCACCACACTCGCCACGCTCACCGCAGGTACCACGCTCACCACGCTCACCACACTCACCGCAGGTACCACGCTCATCACACTCATTGCAGGTACCACGCTCACCACACTCACTGCAGTACCACACTCGCCACACTCACTACACTCGCCACACTCACCACACTCACCATACTCACCACACTCGCCACACTCGCCACACTCACCACACTCGCCATACTCACCACAGGCATTCGCCACACGCACTCGCCACAGGTACCACACTCAGCGTTTCTTCATAGCGTGCCAGACAGCAGTTTTACTTTTTGTGCCGGCTGTTCATTCTCAATTTGTACCGTTGAGTTTGCGTCTTAATGCTCACTCTCGTGACGTACCGCAGTGTCAAGCCTTATGCTTGTCATGTCTGTTGAACTTCTGTTGCACCATGCGTAGCCAAGCGGACTAATCTGTGGGTCTCTGTGAGTCTCTGTGAGGATGTATGTTGAACTTCTTTCGCATTTACGTAGCCAAGCGGGTTAATCTGTGAGTCTCTGTGGATCTCTATGGGTGTCTATGAGTCTGGGTGTCTGTGGGTCTTTGTGTATGTATTTGTAATGACGCCAACACACATTGTTAGCCGGAGCCCTTTGAGTTGGACACAGCACCAACACGAGGCCCAGGCTTCATTCTGGTTGCTTGAAGCTCGTCCTCTCCCCGAACGCCGCCCTCCCCTTGTGCTGTCCCCTTTTATGCACCCCGAGGACCTCTTTCTGGAAGCTGCGCTCACCCCACTTCTTTCATCCAATCCTCGTCCACCTCCAATGGTTGTCAAGCGTCACCCCTACCGTCCACCCTCGCTTCCCGCCTTTTACGTTCAAATCTCTCCTCCTATTCTTTTGAGCCTTGCCTCCCGACCAATCGCTCTGGAGGCCTCTCTGGACCAATCGGAGGCCTTGGTTGGCTTCCTGACCGCCCGTTTGTACGTATGCTTCTTTTAGGTAATTGGACTGTTGCCCCGGTCTTTACATATGTATGTTGAGCTTCTTTCACACCATACGTAGCCAACCGTGCCAATCTGTGGGTCTCTGCAAGTCTCCGTGCGTATGTGTAGTGAGCACCATCGGGATTAACACACTTCATATTTAGTCCGTCTATTATCGGCGATGCTACTTAGTGAGAACAGTTGGTGGGCTGCCTGACTGGCGGTGCCCCGAGATGGTAAAGATGGAGACGACGACGAGAAGAACGGTGACGATGGACTTGAGCAGCACGACGGGGATCCCACTCCAGCAACAGCCCCGAGGTCCCCCACAGGGCCCCCCTTATAGCGTCAGCGTGGCCTCGCCCAGCCCCGGCCACGCCCCCTTACTGGAACCTACCAGCGGGTTTCTGGTAGGCCCCTTCTGTGACCTTTCCCTAGATCCTGCTCTCGTGTATATCCTGGCCTGCTGTACGCCGCAGATCCCCTTTTCTGCCAGCAGTCAGCGCTATGCCACTGCAACTATATATGTTGAACTTATTTCGCACCCTACGTAGCCAAGCGGGCTAAACTTTGGGTCTCTGTGGATCTCTATGGGTGTCTCTATGGGTCTGGGTGTCTGTGGGTCTCTGTATTTATAAATGTTGAACTGCAGAGGAGAGGCTGCCACTTCTCTGTTTGGAACTGGACCGGTACCGCCTGGATCTCTGTGGTCTTCAGGAGGTCCGGTGGACCGGCTCTGGCTCCTGCCACCATGAGGGGTAGACAGTCCTCTGCTCGGAGCAGGAAACTGCCAAACAAAAGGGAGTGGCTCTTCTAAACAAAAGAATGAAGGGGGCGTGGGAACGTGGCGGTGAGGTGTGGGAAGCTGTAATCCCCAGGCTACTGTGGGCTCGCCTTCCCAGCAACCAGAGGCGAGTAGTGGTGGTGATGGTTAGTTGTGCCGCCACCGAAGATAATCATCAATGGAAGGATGCAGGCAAGGCTGATGAGTCAGATGCCTTTTATAAGCTCCTGTCACAAGTGCTAGGTAAAGTGACCCCTCCGGATAGAGTCATCCTGTTGGGTGACTAATGCTGGAGTGGGTGATGATGCTGGCACCTGGGCTGGAGTGATTCGAAGGCATAGGCCAGATCAACTTAATAACAACGGTAGGAGGCTGCCAGACTTCTGTGCAGCCCTTTGGCTTGTAATTGCTAACATGCTGTTCCAGCATCAGCACATCCACACAGCATCATGGATGCACACCGGGTCCAAGCAAGAACATCTGCCCGACTATATAGTGACAGAACGGCGGATGCGGGCCCATGTCCTTGACACCAGGACCTACCGTGAAGTTGATCTGCCCACTGAACATCGGCTTGTCATCTGTAAAATGCACCTGCGATTATTTCACTCCGGTGGTGGGTGTACACCTAGAACCCCGTTCACACCCACAGTGGCCTGGTCACAGCTAGCTTATGAAAGTTGCAAGTGTGAATTTCATCATCACTTGTAGCTGGGTTTGGCATCTTCCCCCCATCCTCCTGATGTCGAGGGTAAATGGGCGAGCTTTAGAACTGTGGCTCATACAGCTGCAATTGCTGCTTTGGGTACACGGTCCAAACCTCCCTAGAGACCCTGGCTGACAGAGGAGGTGTTCCGGCTGGCTGAGAAAAGCGACATGCCCACTCCCACCAGCTACAGCATCCCACATTGGAGAATGAGGAGGCTTACCACAGCCTTTGCTCGGAGGTTCGGAGAGCCGTACGGTGCTGCAAGGATGGGTGGTGGTCGCAGGTTGCTGCCTCATTAGCCCACGACCCCCAGGAACAGTTTTTCAGATTTGCTGAGCATTTCTACGAGGTCTTGGGGGAGGGGAAATCTCACAGCCTGGAAAACACGATGGGGCAAAGTGGGGATGACCCTGCTTAGGCTGCGGTGCCTCAAATATTGGAAGATGTAGTCACTTCATGTGAGTGGCTGGCTGAAGTGCGATCTGTTCAGGAAGTACGGAAGGCAATCCAGAGTCAGACCAGAAAAATTATCAGGCAGAAATGATTCTCCAAGCGAAATACTGAGGGAGGGTAACATTTGTGTCCAGACTGCCCTATATGACATCATAATAATATTTCGATTTAAAGCTTTCGTGACTGCAATGATTCTAGCTAGAACTAGCGTCGCTCTTATCTCGGAAAAAATCAGACTTACACGCACCGAACTCGATCAGTTAGACAAGACACTCTACAAATCACACTTAAAATTGACAGCAACAATGTCTACATCGGATTGGGAACATGTAGACAATATGACTACCTCTTCGGCTGCCACTATGTCGAACAAATGTAGGGACAATTTGATTTCCAAATTCAATCACCTCTCCAGCAAAAAATCGGATCCACACACCGAAAAGATAGACGTCAACAAAGTCGTAATTAATCGCAGTAACAGTTCCATTTCTGATGGTCTGAAATCCGTTTTAGCTAAAGGTCTAAACTTTGCTGTCACACCGAGACACTTAACGGTTAATGATATCATTGCCCATGTCGACGTTGCACTCAAGGGCTTGAGTCACATCTCTGCAGACGTAGCAAGATCTGAAATCGCTGCAACCCTCAAAAACGCTAAGTTGCCACCCAGCAACATCAGCAAAGACGAACGTTTTGAATTATCTCAATTAAAAAAGAGGGATGATATTGTCGTCCTCTCAGCCGACAAAGGCAATGCCACTGTCATCATGGACAAAACAGAATATAACAACAAAATTCAAGAACTACTCAACGATGGCAGCTATACAAAAATAAAAAGAGATCCCACCAACAGCCTGGTCACCAAAACGAACAAAATCATCTCTGACTCAACAGCATTAATTGATGAGATCAAACAGTTCTCGTTGAAACCCTCTGCTGCCAGACCACCAAGATTATATGGCCTTCCAAAGATACACAAAGAAGATACACCCCTTCGTCCCATCGTCTCTACTATCAGCTCCCCCACCTACAAACTGGCACGTTTTCTTGCTGATATACTGCGACCTTTCACTGGAAAAACCACCTCTGCGGTACTAAATTCTACTCACCTGGTATCGACAATCAAAGGCATTTCCCTGTCCCCAAACGACCTGCTTGTCAGTTTTGATGTGGTGTCCTTGTTCACCAAAGTCCCGGTACCTGACACCATCGCTATCATTGAAGACCTGGTTCATCAAGGACTGCATACTGATGTACCCCCCCTGGTGAGACATTGCTTAACCAACACATACTTCACCTGGAATGGAACTTTCTACAAACAAACTGAGGGCACCCCAATGGGCTCCCCCCTATCTCCGGTTGTAGCCAACGTATTCATGGAAAAATTTGAAACTGACGCCATCCAGACTGCCACTCTACACATGACCTTATGGAAGAGGTACGTTGATGACACCTTTGTCATCTGGCCACATGGCCAGCCTGCTCTAGACCAATTCCGCGACCACATCAATTCCATACACCCAGCCATCAGATTTACCATGGAGGTCGAAAAAGATGGCAAACTACCCTTTTTGGATGTCTTAATTAAAAGGAGACATGATGGTTCAATGAGCCACTCTGTCTACAGGAAAGCTACCCATACAGATGCTTACTTGAAACCGGATTCCCACCACCATCCATCCCAGAAGAACTCCCTCATCAAGACTCTATACCATAGAGCCCAATTCATTTCCGACCAGGAACACATTACCAGTGAACTCATGCACGTACACCAGGCTCTCAGGGCTAATGGCTACTCCGACTACACAATCCGCAAAGCCATCACTCCAGTCATGAAGAAGGATCCTCTTGTGGAGCCACTCAAAACCATCACCTTACCCTACATTGCAGGGGTCACTAAAAAGATCTCCAAAATCCTGAATAAACACAAGATCCAGGTCCGATTCAACACAGTA